TGCGCCTGAAATACTCGATGAAAAGGCTTTTGTACGGTCGGGATCGCTGGTGACCCCGGTCCCCCCTGCCCAAGATTCCCAAGGAAAAGCAGGAGGCAGCTGCGGGGGGCCGTGCCGGCTGGCCCTTCCCTCTCCCGGCCCTCCAGATGTTTTATTGCCCTGCGTTTAATTAACATTTCCAGCCACGTGCTCAATGGGGAGCTCACATCTGCCCCTTCTTCCCGCTCCGCTCCTGCTCTGGGGGCTCATGGAGCAGGGGTGTGGATGTGTCCGGGGGTCTGGGACACAGAGTCCCGGGATGCCAAAAAATATAAATTATCGCCTTATGCATTATTTTTGCCCATATTTCCCGTAAATAACCCTCGAGGCGTGAGGAGATGACTGGTTCCCAGCAGGGCACATGTGGAGGTGCCACCCAGTGCTCTCCAGGTGCCCCAAAACTTCGCCCTCCTAAATCCTAAAAAAGGCAGCCCTGCAATTTTGGGGTATTTCCCAACATTTTTGTGGGTCCTACAAACACGGGAGAGCCTCCTCGGTGGGTTTCATCCATGGGGATCGTGGTGTTCTGGGGGATCCATGGAGTGGGGGATCCTTGGTCCCCCTAGGAAATCTGGACATCCCAGAACCCTTGGAGACCCCAGGACCCTCCATCGCTCCATTCTCCATCTCCCACCCCAGCCCACCCCCCAGCAGCGGGGCAGGGCGGGGGGACAACGAGCCGCGAATGTCCCATCAGCGCGTCCTGGGGACAGCGCCCGTGCCTCCCAAGATCACCCCTTCGGGAGGGTCTTTGCCACGGGGTGGGGGCGAGAGGCAGAATTCTGACGATTTTGGGCTAAAATTGAGCCGCATTTACACCCCAAAAAGCTGCAGGCTCCGAGACGCTCCCCGATGTGCCCCTCTCGGGCTGGGAAATGAGGGAAATACTCGGAAATGGCGAATTTCGGTCCCGGGGGCTGCGTCTGTCTGCTCGGAGTGGGGGGGGGTCTCCCTTTCGGGGGTCTGTTATTTTTGGGGGGGGTCTCCCTGTCGGGGAGGGTCCGTTATTGGGGCGCGCGCTCCGCTATTTGAGGGGCGCTCTGTATCAGGGGCGTGGTCTGTCCATGCAGGGGCGTGGCCTATCCATCAAGGGGCGTGCTCTAGCGAGTGGTGGGCGCGGTGTAGCGTCTC